CGAATGAATGAACCCGGAGTTAATTGACCCCTGTCGGTCGAGTAAGGAAGCGAATTAAGTCAAGATGCCCAGACGTGAATGTGAGCATGATTCATTGCATGAGCGGAGTCAATCTAAGCCCTCAACAACTTAATAAGTGAATTACGTTGAGGCCGAGGTTCTCTCGAATAAAACCGATTCCTTTGAATCAAATGCGGGCCACACTCTCCACGTCACGGCACTGTTCGCAGATATGTGTGGTGTCTTGTGCGGAATACCGCTAAATGTCAGTGACTACTTACACGATTGGGGTAGTTGACCTTGACTGTTTGACCCTCAAACAAAACCCTCCCATTATTTTCTTACATAAATGTGATTGTAATAGCTTGAGACGGAACTCAATGGAAACATCTGTTCGCCTACGATACTATTTTTGATTAAGGCGACGGATTCATTTTGTGATTTAAAAATACTGTTATTCTTATTATTTTATTCCCCTGAAACTATTCACTCCTCATGTCGCTCTTTTGTTTACTCCAATCACCCATCCTCGACTATTATTATTACTGCATGGGCACCATTCTTTTTATCATGCCGATGAGAATTATACTTATCATATTTCATATACACATCCTTTCCATGTACCGTCTTTCGTGGCTGGGTCTTGTCCCACTAATACCCGGGCCAAATTTCGTCTACGTTGTTTTGGTAGGAGACGGTGAATCGTGTCGTAAGACAACGATGGAGGTCATTTAAGAAGTTGTACATTAGGTTGAATAAGTTATCTTCGGATCTGGCTCCTGTCGGGGTAGCCCGGTATCTAGGCTGTAAATTCAAAGATAAAGATTACCGATGCCTGAAGACACTAAGTAATGCGACATGGAACGGATGCATTTTTAAGTGTGTATTCCCCACCGCAAAAGGATAAATTTATTTCATTTTTGTGCAGAATACAAAAGCGATCTATCCCCGCCCTTCAATCTGAAGTCTTTGTTTTTCAATTTCATTCTGTATACTTGTACCTGTATAGCGTCACATCGTCATCCGGGCTTTGTTTTTTCTCTATGTCAGTTGCTCAATTGATCACGTGCACTAGTGTTGTGTCACACAGATGTTCCTGAAGATGTTTGTTTGATTGTTTTCACATTGTGCAATTTATGTGAAAATGAAGAAGCGCTTGACTAAAAACCGGTAATATCGATACAAAATTTCTTCAAATATAAATGCATCGACATCAAAGAAATATCTTCAAAACATCAGTTTTTCACTTTGCGTGGCATTTTAAATGGAATTCAAGACCAGAGTTCACTGTTCCCGTTGAGAGGGAAAATGATTATCCGCTCAAGAAGCTGCAACAAAATTTGGGACAAAATAACCTTTGAAGTCAAGCCCGAAGTGTCTCCCTTTGACGACTTTTAATTTCATGTAGTAGGAAAAATGCCTGCCTGTTCGTTTTATGATCTTATACCGCATTTTCGTTTCTTCGGCTTACCCAGTTGTTTTCCGATTTTGCCCTGTGTGGTTGCAGTGCTAGACAGTTTAAATTTTTTCAATCGTGCTTCCATCGGATGTCTGTAGTCCAATCAGGTGAGTTCATTGTATATGGCTTACTTTCATCTGTACATTATTTATTGAACAATAGTAAAACCTCATTTTGAAATGTATTAATAGTCTTTTGAAGGACATTAGTGCGACACGGTGCTCAAGTCCTCCCATAACACAAAGCCGCTAAATTGATGGTTAGGAGGGGGAGTAGACATAAACTTTGTCTAGGGCTTTTTAGTTATCAACAAGTCATCTGTTTGGTCCGATCACAAAGAAGGAGATCAACGCATTTTGCTTCACCACGACTAGAGCACAAATTGCAATCTGGTCTTACGTTTGTAAAAGGCCATCGTTTGATAAAATTTTGGATAGAAAATATGAGTAATTTGCAATGTAAAAGCTGACTTTTGCGCAAGACATAAAATGTTAACTAATATACCTGTGTAAAACTGGTCATCCTGTGACCGATGGAGGTCCTAAACCCCCCGTCTAATATATTTGAATGACTTAATTGAGACAAAAGAACATCTACCACCGTTAATTCCTAGCGTCTAGTTATTTATTACCTAGTCACGCACCCAAAAGCAAATGCTAGTTGAGAGCGTGCGTTTGAAATTTCCTATGGAGTTGGCGGGCTCACACGATATTAGCCCCTTGCAGATATGTTCCCTTTGGTGGAGTAATATACAAATTGGACGACGATGTGAAAAGGCAATTTTCTCTTCCTTATATGGCCAAAGAGTACCACGATCAGAACACATGGAGACATTGAAGGAATCCAGTCAAGAGATTCGCGTGTAACCTAATTTATGGGCAGTTTTGTTGACCTAAATTAGTTGATGGTTCAACAAATAACTGCTAACAGGAGTTTCAATGCCTATAGTTTTCCCAATAAAACCATACAATGCAAAATTCACCAAATGCACTGATTTTGCTCTTGTTTGGAGGTGAATGTTGTCGGGTGTCTCGAACCCTTTAGCATAGGGAAATACTTCCACTGTAGCAGTCTTGGCAATATATTCTATATGAAAGAACTTATTTTCTCTCTACTTTTGAACTCAAATATATTCATTGGTTAAATCTCGTATAACTCACAGGTAAATACAGAACAAATAGATCTATCTACGTATAAATGACGCTCAAGTGTTATGGGTACATATCATTACGGCTTGGTCAAAGGGCATTGGACTTTCGCCACCATAACAAAAGGTTTCCACTCCCTTAGAATCCTTCAAAGTTCCTCAAGTACTCAGTGGTCTTTGAGGCCTGCATTCACTAATATTTCTTATTCCTGGTTGCTTTCCGTTCATTGTTGTTTTTCCGGTTATGTAGATCACAGTGCTGCCTCTGTGCGCGATAATTTCCCTGATCGATCATAACAGACTGCTTCCTTCCTTAACAACCTTGCCTACTATTCTATGGAGACAGACAGCAGTTAGTCAGACAGTTCTAATATTAGCGTAAACATTGATTTGCATGAAGAAAATGTAGGGGAACATCATGGATATGAACGCCATTTAGAACACTGAAACACCCACGAAATCCATTCTATCCAACCCAACGAATAAGCAAATTATATTGGAGCAAACGGAATGCTTTCTCCCTCAAAGAATCATCGATGTTTAGCATATGTAGTTTGCAGCAGGCACTTTATTGACCCTACGTGTTACAGACTGTATAAGCCTATCCCTAAACATATTACTGATATTCTTGAAGACCTTGCTGCTGCCGCTTGTATCAAGTGCGGCAAAGATTGAAATTCAAATATTTTGAGTTCCTTTTACGACCGTACCTAGGTGTCCTACTGTCCGAAAATATTCTACAGGTTCTTGTTTGATAAAATTTCCATCGAATAAAACTTTTTCAAATCGGGCAAAATGCCACGTAGAACGCAACCATTAGTGGTAGTAGTGTACCTTTTCAACAAAATAAAACCGAAAGCTTTGGAGCTCATATACGGTAAAAAAAAATGTTGTCTAGGGGCTGCTAACTTGAAAATTTCAGCTCGCATTGTCTAACCTGCTAAGAGTAACCAAATTAGTGAGAATCCCGTTCTTATGAAGCTTTCGATATTCAAGTGGTCAATTGTATTTTCTTGTTTAAAATCAGTTACTTGGGATGCGTTTGCTACTCAGTGAAATTGCTTGTATCCTGGGTAATGCTTTCATTTCCGATTCACCAACTCAATTTTCTTAACAATAAAAAAGTAGTCAGGTTGTGAACTGAGTCATAGCCCTGGAGGCTAGTATTGAGATAAGTAAGGTCGGTGGCCCACAGGAAGCCCTCAAAGAAAGGTTGTGCTATATTGTGTAAATGGGAAATGAGAAACGGTCTCATCAGCTATCAGGGGGCTTAGCGGGTAGCATGCTTGCATTCTACCTGTGAGGTCCCGGGTTTCGATCTCCAGTTGGGTCGATGGGTTCGCGCTGCTAAAGAGACATAAATTTGTCGAAACTGCTTACTGGCTTTTCAGTTTACGCTCCATTTACTCTATACACGACGGATTCCACCTATGAAATGAAATAAAAGACTGCAAAATGGCTAGGCTGTTCTGCAGTCATTTTTGCAGCAATCGGCCCAATGAAATGTGTATTGAAAAAGGGTTAACTACAAACTTTCACGATAAAGTGATTTTCACGAGTTCGCATCAACGCCAAATTTCGAAATCACAACTTTTACTCAGATAGATTGTGCATTCGTATACGCGTTCGAGGCAAACGGAGGTATAACAGCATTTTAATTTATATATACATTACTACTCACAAGTAATACGAAGCCACTCGACTAAAACTTACTTGTAACGTGAGTTCATGCAATCGATTGAGATCTTTGGTTTTGCCACTCTTCAAAATGTCCAACTTGTGTCTCAGTTCGCGCACATCGTTTTCTGATCGTGTTCGCCAAAATTCTTCCAGCTATATGACAAATGAATATGAAAAATTGAAAAATGCCGTTCCTTCTACATACCTGAAATCGATTGCACTCACAATGACATACGGCACAGTGTGATACAAATCAAGAGCGAGGATACATTACAAAATCTGAAAGATTTTGGAACAAAAATTGCATTTGGACCTTTTGATTTAGACAAATGCTAGTGAAACAGCAAAAATAAAATTTTTTAATTAAATTAATAATTAATTAATGTTCAAAACTAACAGGTCAACTCCTTCGAAGTCTGTCGTGGTTAGAAGTGTGTTGTAAATTCATAATTCTTTGTATTTTTCCAAATTTACAAATTACCTTGCAGTTATGACCGCATTTTGAAAACAACTTTAGAAATGCTCGAATCTTCATAAAAATTAGGAATTTTCAAAGGGATTTGACTATGTTCGGAGTTCAGTGAGATATAGCTGAAAGTTGTGGCAATTATTGAACTTCTCTTACCACAGGTGAAAGCATAAGAAGAGTGGCAGGAACTTAGTAAACAGTAACATTCATCTGCAGAAATGCCACAGGTCTGAGCTTACCTATCGGTTGCAGGCCAGAAATATGAAGTCCAATGAGATCCATAGGGACCAAAAGTATTTAGTTTTTTAATTTGTTAACTCTGGCTGATCTCGTTCACGCTTCCAACAGGGGTCTAGCCCTTAAACCGGCGAAAAGTTTGAAAGACATTCCTTGTTTATTATTATACATGAACATTGATGAAGTTATCTGCAGGCAACTTCTGCACTTATGGTACGTTTTCATCATTGGACTTGTGAAACTTCAAATAATGTGGTACCCGAAAAGTGGCAGTTCTTCACAAATTTTGAGTATATGTTGTAGTTCGTACTCAGAATAGTATTTCGTATACGTATCGGATTCCGCGCACTTGTAGTCCGACCCAGAACTAGAACTCGAAACGAAATCAGAAGTCAACTCAGAGGCGGAATGGAATTGTAATAGGCGGAACATAGAAATATATAAAGATATCGTGTTCAATAAAACAAAAGAGTTTATAGTTCATAAGCAATCATCACAGTATAGCGGCCATTTCTGAAGAGAAAGTACCTGACGATTCCACATCAACATGAATGATATTAAAAAGTTGCTCACGATAATTCCATGACTGCAAATTATTCGTAACCATTTGAAATTTATGCTTATCACACAAAAAGCATAACACCTAGGAAATACTTACTTGATTCAGTTCGGCAAGTCGGTCACGTAAATAGGACTTTGTCTCCTCGGATGCACGCGTTTCCTGGTCCCGTAATAAGTTGATTCTTCCGATCTCGTCCACCAATTCTTGTTTCTTTGCATCAAAACGACTTTCCAATTCGGCCAAACGCACTTGCGAGTACTGTGTCATGTACCGTTCCTCCATGACACTTCTGGCTTTCATTTCCTGTGACAAAATTTATCAAGACATGTTTGCATTGAGGTAGGATGATACTCATTATCTATTATGCTCGATTATGTGACTTCATATGACATGCTATTCACATTTAATCATACAGTAAACTTCAAGCACTGTACAGCCGATTCAATGCGGTTGTTTCTCATCAAAAGTGCTAATCGATCGACCCAATCGATGATCGAACACTTGATTTGCTCTTTACATGATAAAATTCACCATTTAATTGTATCAAATTCTCAACTACTCCCATGTAACCAGGTTCAGAATGTTTCCAACCCATTTGCCGTATTGTGAATGAAGTCAAACCAACAAACCGCTTCATTTCGCCCCATGGGGGATGAAAGTACAGCTGCTACACGATAGCCCTTCTGTAGTAGACATTGGAAGGTAGATAAAAAAGAATGATAAAAAGCTGCTTGCACAAACGTTGAACCAAATTCAGCAGAGTTTGAGTTTAAGTGCCATGGTCAGGTCTAGTAAGATACTATGCGAGGTACGGTATTACGCAAGAGGTGTATGTTGTAGGGCGCGCTGTTGTGTGACTATACTCAGTGTCAATGGTTATACATTTGCTGAGATGTGGGTAAGGAGGCTGAGGTTGTTCTAGCAGTATCCTGCCAGAATGTTTCTGGTAAACACAAAAGTGCTGTGAAATCGTAAACTCCACAATAAGCTCGCTGTATATGCCACTGTGTAAGTGTTTCATACATCTACGTTTAAGTTTGGATTCTTGGACAAAAAGACCGGGAAAGATAACTAGGGACACATAAAGCCAGTGATTAAGGATGTAATAGAAGACAAAAAGTTTTATTTAGTGGGTCGGGTGGAAAGTTCTTTCAAACTGATAACGTAATGGGTCAGTTTCCTGAAAGTGAAATGTCTCGGCGACATGAGGAGACCAAGGGAGATCAAAGGAAACAATTAATCTGATGTTTTAGAATTTGAAAAGTCTTTCTACATGCTGAAAAGAGTTCACTGCATCAATGTGTTTTTCTTCATTCACTAAAGAAACTAAGACCTCTGTGCACTTGTGCATTCTAAACCGTGTAATGTGAATCATGATCATGGACGTTCTATATCACTCTAAATTCTACAATAGAAAATTTAAATATTTTAGTATTTGCACTTTAACTACTATAGATAGCAGAGTAGTCTGTTTATAAATGACAATTTCAGCCGTGAACAGTTATTTACTCATGGGCTGCATACTATTGTTTTGTTTTACTGTGTTTACGACTGTTCATTTCCGTTTTGGTTTTACTGCATCACGATGTTACAAGTCATCCTGTACCAACACGTTCGAAAATGACTGAAAGCCGGCGTCAATGTTCTTAGTGGTGCGTCCGTTCGATTATTCGTAAATGTGTCGGTTACCAATGTTTGTTGAATCACGGTTCATGTAGAAAGAAAGTACATCAGCCCTCGTTGTGTTTTTCATTCCGCCCAGGCTGTGTGAAACTTTGACCTTTTACGATCTATTGCTGCCGAAGTTAATTCATTTCTGCAATCATCATCCTCATTCGAATCATCATGATCATAATGATCATTTCAACAACAAAGTTCTCTCGACGGACAACAGTATGTGTGCATGTGAAAAAGGTAAATTTTCGACACAATAGTTAGAAAATCATCATGGCATTCAGTAAAATGAATCGAAAATTTTTTAATTTTCAGTGTGCAAGATTTCGTCACGTTCACTGACCCATGAGCAACAAATTTCCCCCTACATCCTTTTAGTTGTAAGCCCATGACTAGAAACTCAGGTTTTCTCAGCTTATTGATAAGCCCACAAACCTGAAATAATAATTTAATGATCTTGTATCTCTGAGGCCTCAAAAATGTCTTGAACAGTTTGTTAGTACTAGCTATTTCTGAGGTGTCTATGTATGAATCGCTGCTTTGATTCTGCGTTAATTTTGAGGCTTAGATGGATTTTTCATTGCATGATGTTGTACAATCAAGTGTTGATGTCATTAACCATAAAAACTGCTGTAAAATGGTGGCGGGGAACAGCTCTCCGAAACAGGTCTTATTGATTCTGTTTGATATACAACAGACCATGAGTAGGGGGGAAAACAAAGAGGATTTTAATATGGATTGTAGAGTCACCTAGTAAGGAAAACTAAACACCAGTTAGCTGGCCCTGTGAGCAACATACGAAGCCTGTAGTAACAATGTTCGAAACAGAACACAGCAGTGATCACACGAAGATGGAGAAGTGGCTGAAGAAAGCATGGCGTGGGCGGATCAGCAACAAAGAGAATGGCTTTGGCTAAAACGGTCTAAATAGGTCAAAGAATAAAAGGAGTATCCGCAGACGTAGAAAGAATATTTCATATTGAGATTTATCTAGATCATGTAAAGAGTGATGAAAGAGGAAGTGCAATTCACTTTGCAAGCAAAAGGTTCGGAAACGTTTTGGACACACTCGATATAAGTTCGGCAATGAAACCAATATATGGAAGAGGGATGGATGAACTTGTAGGACTATATCAAATTATCGATCGTGGGCAACAGGATCGAAAACACCCAAAAGAACCTGTGAATACATGCAATTTACCGCATTGGTGATGGCCGATTGAAATACCTGATATCCTCTGGCAAGAAGAAAATAACTATCTGGTGACTGCGAACAAGTACAATAATTTCTTAAAAGAAGATATGCGATTATCAGGGACCACAAAAGAGTTTCATTGGTAACGGCACCCTCTACAACCACAACATTGTTTTCCAGCACAAGTGATTTTGCATGAAGACCCACAAATTGGGAGCGGCGATTTTCAAAAATTTTCATAAACATGACGTTTTGAGCAACGCACTGTTAGTCTCTGCCAAAGGAAGATAGGGAGTGCAGTGAGGCAAGTCAAAGAGATGTTGAAGAAATGTGGTACGGATGTCAGTGATTTGTTAGTGGCTAACCTCGAACTTCGAAATACAACTTCTACAGCTATTGGAGTAAGCTCATCTCAGGGTTTATTTTTATTTAAACACAGAAATTGCATTACTATTAGGCGATACAGTGCTCAAACTAGAGGCCACTCCACCGGATAAAATAGAGACTAAGGTAAGACGGGAAACAATAGTTCAAATGAAATTTCGTTGTTGCGTTAGTCTTCTTTTTTATCTTCTTCAGTCAGGATAGCAAAGTTTAGTTCCCGTTCGGTAGGCAACAGGAAACTTTTGGTCGACGACTGTCATTACTTCGCCTGCGAGGAAAACTCTAGTGGACGCACAATTTGGAGAAACAGAATCTACCCAACAAAAGATGGGATCAAATATCAGCCAAGCACTATGGATAACTTTCTCCATGAATCGGATGTGATGATCTAGCAAATGAAAACCGCAAATACCTCAATGATCTGTTCATCATTTCCCCCCTTCATCACAAACCCGTGGGGAACTAATTCACCAATAAGCTTTCGAGTGAAAGAGCTAGAAAGCAGGTGGCCTATAATGGATGTTATTCAGCGGCTTTCTTGTTTCATTTCAGCAATGCTTTTGTATGTCGAGAAAAGACTACGTATATTGTAGAAGGGATTTTATTGACTAAATCCGCTAAATAGGCAAGCAAATTTAGGTATTTGATATCTGCTTTTTGCAACGCACATAAAACATACTGAGATTCAGTTCCTGAAGAATCAACTTGTGGCTTTTTCTATCAGGACAAAGGCAGGACCTCAAAGTAGAGAACGCATATACTCAAGGTTTTTCCGTTTATGCATAAGACGTATGACCCACCAAAACGAAACTCATCACGTGTTACACCTTTACTTTAGGTGAAACGTTTACGACTACTCAGAAGTCCCATATTTCACCTTCAGTTTGTCGACGATCAGAAGCCACCAGTTTAATGAAACCCATATCTCAAGCCACAACACATGCTTACATTCGATCGTCTGTTCATTTTCCGCTCGCAATCTTTCTTACATATGGGTGTTTCACAAATAAATGAAAACGATTTTTTCTTGTAACTTTAGGTTACTCAGTTGACCTCATGGGATATCCGGAAAGACTAACAAGTCATCATCTCTGTCTCATTAAATGAAGAAATACAGGAAGTTCATCTTACAAGATAGTATTGACTGAAGCTCTTGCTGAAAGACCAAAGAGGTAATGTTTTATTATTAATATTATTACTATAATCGTTTTCATAATTACTTACTCCAATGATTTTCCAACTTCCACAGATAAGTATCATAAATTTTGTTCCGATAAAAAATTCAAAAATGGATTATCAATCCACAATTTGAATAAATGACTCCAAGTACGTTCCTAAATCCTCATCCTGTTCACATATATCCGATAAAGATGACTTTTGCATCGATTCGAAAGTAGCATGTTCTAGGCCTAACAATATTGCTCACTGCACCAAATTGTTCGCGCCTCACAATATCATTTAACTAATCATTTTTTTCACACAACCTCAAGTGATAATTGTTTCTTCTTCTTCACTACATACCGTGGGTAAGTTTCGGTCACGTATAGTTGAATTTAAAGGTTTGCATATGGAAATTTCGTTGTATTGTAGTCTATTAAATAAAAGAAGTTAATTATCATTTTAAGATGCCTAGTGATTGCATAGCAATATATTTTAAGTAAGCAGATATCTAAGCAAGTTCAGAATTTCCTACTGCAATTCATCCAATTTTCGTGAGCTTGGATTAATTGTTCTTATCGAATGGGGTTACAGTGAAATATACTGTTATTTTGATGTAATGCCTGTGTATCTTTTGTTTGGAAAGATTTAAATGTATTATTGTTATTGTTTGTCACGTGAGCTACCACCCTGGAATTTGCTATAATTCAGATTCACATATTGCTGAAGCTGTAATGAGTGTTTCGGCTGAATAGCAACCAATTCTACCCGGAAAACTTAAACAATTCGTGTAGGAAATGACAAGGATTTTACACCAGGAAATATATGCGGAATAAATATCAAATATAATCCTAGCCTCAATATTTTAACTGCTTGTTACATCTTTGCAAGTTTTTTTTTCGATGGAAAATCAGCACTGTGTATTGGAGCACAAGCAAACTAACTCTACTAAATTTCGCAGTGTAAAGTGAATCATGAGATCAAAAGCCAGAATCTTAAATTACTGCCATTCGTGATGCTTACCAAACAGATATCATTTCTGACAGACCATCTATTTTCCACATCTTGTGATATAAACCTTTTGATAGAATTCTGTCTCACCAAAAATTAGACTAAACTTACTTGAACTTGATCTTTCAGATGTGCAATAGTCTCCTTGCTCTTTTCGATCAGTTGCTGACCCTCCCGAAGATTGTTTTCAATTCCGTGTCGTAAACCTTTGATCCGTGCGCGCATCACACGCTCGCTGACAAATGCAGGGAGAGTGAGAGACGAGTTCAGGAAAGTAGAATTAAAGCAACCCCACTGATTGTCCATACTCACGAGCTGTTGGAGAAGATTTAAATGAAAAGCTTCGACAAACTGCTCAGTCTCACTACTTCCAAAAAGTCAATTTCATACTTCTACGTTGGTTTGATTTTCTAGTCACACCAGGTCTATGCTTAGTTTTTCTACCTGAATTGCTGATCAATGTGACTGTTAATCAGACTCATAAGTAGGCCCAGTAAATTTACATTAGAAAACTGCAGGTAGATATCAATCTTTTGATATAGGGGTATTATAGAAGTTTAACCTTTCTTCAAACCCTTAACTANAATACATCACTGTTCGAGCCACTGGTGTACTTACGAGTCTGATGAAGTTAATTGATTGTGACGAGGCAATGGTGACACCAATTGATTGATAGCCACCCGTAGTTCGTATATTCCTAATACCTTATCTCACCAAATAAAATTTGCCTTTATAGTTTTATCTTCGTAAACCTCACCAATACTGGCCCCTAATGATCTATATTTCTGGTAGTTATGAACAAACAGTGGGTTCTAATGAATACCAGCAATATCAGCCTATTTTCCCATCAAAGGCATTGCAATCTCCGATTGATCCCAGCTCCTTGGATTATAAACTCGAGTGAAGGTAAATAAGAGAACTCTCCTAATCACGACCGTTAAGGTTGTCCTCTACTCTGGTGCATACATAAAATGACTCATGCATATATTTTATGGCTCACCGTTCCAGTATTTTCTCGATTTCCCTGTATTTGTCTTCTTCCCGTTTGACCGCCTCTTCTAGCACTTGAAATGTCCCTTTTTTGTCCAACTCTTCCGCGAGTTGTGCCAAAATTTCAGTCACTTGAATCCTATAGGGATAAATTGTTGCATAAATAATAGTCAGAACCAAGTTAATCAATGTAAATTAATCATTACTTTTCTCCATTTGTGAAATTGGGTTAGTAAACCACGATAACTTCAATTCTTAGTCTCCGAAAGCTCCCGATAACCTTTACTTAGATCGCTTATTCTCAAAGGCATTTCTCAATTTTTTTCAAAACCTCTATGTGATAAGTACAAAAGCAAATAGGATATATCAATCATAAAAATTCAAATCCTAAAACATAGAAAGAGATTATCAATGATGTTTTTGAGGTTCCCTTATCAAATAGCCAACTCCTCGTTGTTCATTTTGCTCACAAGGAAAGTTCCAGAACTACATTGACTATGCTAAACTTTAAAATGTAACAATTGGAAGGAAATTCCATTCAGACATGCCGTTTCCGTACAATTTGTATAAAGCTCGAAGAATTAGTAATATACGATCAAGTGAATCCGTTTTTGTCTACATACGATTTGGTATAATCAATATTTTTAAGCCTATTGCAACCCAGTGTTTTCTTTCCTCTCGAAAAGACACTCAAACTGCTGTGATTCGGTAGGAAACATTCAGAACCTGACTATTTCTTTTGATTACGCAACATCATGCCGGGAAAAGGATTTGGGATACACCGCGTAAAAGTAGATCGAAGTTTCCGTAATTGGTTACCAACTTGTGATGCGAAGTTATTCGTTTTCTGAAACTGCTGCATTCTACAGTAATTACTGTTGTTTAGTCGGTATGCTCAGTATGACTTTAATTTAGTCTTCCCTATTCTAGGTCTCTGCTGGGACGGACAACTTGCTTTAAGCTCACAAAAACATGTGTTGTACTTTATCCAGTCGAGACTGAGTTAACCGTTGGTAATGTAAATGAACGTAAGGATGTATAACCCTTACACACTATTGGACTTCTAGCCCACGTTGGAATTCATAAATGAGCATTGCTGATCATAACTAGGATGGTTAAATTGAATTCATTGTGTTTTCTGTCCTCCATCGAGATATGGTAAAATTGTAACACATTTTTGTTTGCAATCACCTTGGGTCACAACGCGTATCAATGACCAACAGTGGAGAGAAAGATAGGTTGTCACTGGTTTCCGATCTCATGCTGTAAAACAGTGGAGATGCTCAGACTATTCACCCGTTTAATAATAATAATCGTTAATAACCGCTTGCCACTGGAATGGCATTAATGTAATTCTGGAACTGCATATTGATTGAAAGGAATACTGTTCACAATGAAGAGCAATTATGTGAAATTCCTCATCGGTCTGTAGGCAAATAATTAGGAATCATTGAAATAGATTTCTGGATTTGTATTGTTTATTTTCATTGAGAAAAGGTACAAATTCAATTTGCATCTCCAAAGAATGGTTTCCCGAAATAAGCACTTTAAGGAGGATGGCAACATTAAAAGCCATCCTATTTAAATGGCTTCTGGACTCTCCTTGGTACATGCAATGAGATTGATCTTATAGTAAAAGAACTGGGGAAAGAATAAAATACAACATCCCATTGCACTGAAGTCAGTATATAAAAATGGGAGGCATAACAATAATTCCAAATGTATGACGATAGGAACCCAATCGCAAATTTAATTTGGCTCGTGTGTTCAAAGCAGCGTAAGTTTAGTGGTGTCAGATGCAAATCAATACTAAAGAAAATTTTAGGGGAAACACAAGCAAATATAAAGAGCAGATTGAAACCATACAAACTCCCGTACTTTGCTTCAAGTACATTGATAATTTTGTAATGGATATCAAAATTTTAGCAATACTCCGTTTCACTAAATACAATTGATAAAACAACTTTCAGGTAGAAGAAGGGATCTAGCTGGCCAGGTGTTGCCTTGAACACATCGAAGAAGACGGCTGTTGCAGGATTTGAAGTGACAACCTCTGGATAGGCCTAATGACGACCGTGATGGCTAATGTACATAATGTGCATTATATACTTCCAAAGTTTTCTGATCCGATAGGTCTGGTTGAGTTTCTTTTTCAGTTCATTTTTGCAACAGTGGGATAGTTTTCCAATCTCACACAGGATATGCACACCCTAAACTGTGACAGTTTTACCGAAACCAGGTGGGAGAAATCCGTAGTGCACTCCACCTAGAGGTCGAACAAATACTCCGAAGGAAAATTTGACGTTACGAATGTGTATTTGGGAAACAAAGGAAGCAATTGACTTAATTTTCACATGTGATATGTACGTTGCACTGGAACAAGGACTAGTAATTGGAGTTTGCCACAGGTAGATGAGGGATAATTCCTCGTTTGATCGTTATGTTTCACTATCAAGAGACTAAATCTTCTGTCCTCGCGAAATGTCACCGTCTCATGATCTCAAAATCGGCTGCCAGAAAACTCATTGAACAAGCTTTACTCACACAGGAACAGAAATTTATTAAAGGTGTGTATATTCCGCCACAGATTGCTGCCAATCTAAATACCTCTATTCTAGACACAGCGAGATTCCTTATTCAGTTTATCGCTGTTTTCAAATGAATCCGTTGCAACATTTCCGTTTGCTTTACATGATTTTTCTCATAGTTCCATTCAATCCCCGGTCAATGCGCATGTCAACACGTGAATGCTTTCGAAAACAATTATAAGTTAGATTGTCTAACTCTTTATTGAAAGGTCACAAAACAAAAAGATGAAAAAAATTTCATACCAACTTGAATCAACCACTTTGGTGTGAATTAAATTGCCGTTATATTTTCATACTCTGTACCTCACATCCATTTAGGGCATTCCTGCTGCTTCCCCGAGCACCAGCTTTCAGGTATACTGATAATTTACATTAGGCCAACTCATTTTCTTTTCATCCTCTTCATGCACCAACAATCAGTTTTAGATTCATTTATTTTACCTTAATCTGATCTGATTTTAAGTCTGAGTAAATATACAGGATAAATCTATAGTTTCTTGCACTTTTTGCGTCTTACAGACTAGTAAAAAGTATAAGCAATTAGTAGTTCTCACAACAGACGAAAATCTTCCTGGGTCAATTTAAATCCTAAACTATGCAGTATCCATCATTTCAACTCCGAAGTTATGAACAGTTTTTCACTATGAAGTCAGTGAATTGCACCCTTTGTCCACTAACTCCTAACTTATTTGCTGCTTAGCTTTTGTCTCTCTGAATTCCTTTATCAGGATTTTGACGTTGCAATCAGTCATTTCACTTTTTTGGTTGTATTTCTTAATTTATCTTCAACGGTTGTGTGCTGGCGTGCTAGATGAATTAACTATACAACACATGGGTACTACACTATTAAGCATATCAATCATTCCTAATGAATTTGGATGCCTGCTGCTGCTTCCGCAATACCAGTAGCTGATGCTGATGATGATAATGATGATTCGGATGACTCGGATGACTCGGATGATGATGATGACGTCGATGACGATGAAAAACCTCCTTGACTAAACGTTTTTATATACAACACTTTGGGCTACTTACATGTATCACTTCATCACAACAGTCATTCCTTCAGAGGCAAAATCATTTATTCATCAATCTTGTTTCATAGATAAGTCAAAATCAAAATCGAAAACGCTGTTTTCCCGTCACAAATTTGAACAGAGCAGTCAGAAACATGGGTTTGTACAATGTATCCACGGTCATTTGGCTGCATCTGTACACGTGCATACTGCAGTCAGAGTGATTTTTTATAGTCAGTGAGATAATAGATGTGAGACGAAGACAAGATGGCTAATCACAACGGATAACGCAACACAAAATACGGGGACGAGAGAGGGTAGGGGTTCGATCACCAGGGCAAAGCTAATGTGACTAACCACTCACGTTGTTTGCATAGATCGGGTTCGAGAGTATGAATGGCTAGAGCCTCGGAAAATTTCAGTAACCTTGTGTTTGCTATGTTGTAGATGACCTGAAATGCGTGGGGTGGAGTGACAGTGTTTTTGTTCGAATAAGTGTGGCGTTATTGAAGATCTAAGCTTTTTCTGGTCATTTGATGAAGGAACAGCGAAATGACCATGGATACATTGTGCAAACCCATGTTTTTGACTTCTCTGTTCAAAATCAAAATTACTTATTAGGAATTTTATGTAAGTTTTTGGACTTTACTTCCTACTCGTTTAACTTCAGTTGTTGTTATAAATTATCTGGTTCGAACGCCATGTGAAGAAAGGAAATTGAATAAATTTGTCCCAGTATTGGTTACCCATCCACTCGGATCCTGTTTATGATACAGCGTTTTGCTGATTTTACTACTTGGCAGTGGTCTACATGTTCATAAGAACAATAGCCTTCAAACCCAGAAGGAATGCAGAGGTTCTCAAGTGGTAAACGTCAACAACTAATAACTTCGAAAATCGTATTTAAACCTCACAAATACAAACTAACGCTCCTCATTTCTCGCCTTGAATACTTTCACTTCGCTCAAACTTGCATGCAACAAAAGGGAGAAACAGAAAGAGAAGAGAAAAAGTGAATGATTCGGGTCGTCATGCTGAGCCATCCGCATAGCTCAAAGTCGAGCAGCTTCGGATCAGATGTCCGATGCCTAGTTTGTGTACATAAGATATACCTCACCCTCTCATAGATTCACATTATGTATAGCTGAAAAATAACTTGCTAAACTGGCTTTCAGTTTCTGCCTTTACGTGCATGTCTGAAGTACTTCTCATTTAAATATTCAGTTATAACACTAAACACTGATATTTTAGTTGGTTTTACACAATTAATAAACATGAATTACCGTGCATCGGTTTGGCAGCTGTCTTTTGGCCACCCATGTGGATGAAGGAATAGAGGGAAGACGTATCAAGGTGAAAGCAGAGAATTCAGGTAGAATAGGGTTGCAAATAAACCGAGTAGATGCAAAAACATCACCGTTTACGAAACCTAACCATGGTACTCATTCTGTGTAACTGCCGGTTCCACTGATCCCGATGTCCCCATTCTGGAAACCCTATGCGAAAGAGTTGCCTGGTCAGGGTTTTCATACCCACCTTGCAGGTCTTATTCTTCCCACCTCTGACTTATTTCCACTTGCTACCTGCCTTGGCAATCATCTAAAGTCAAGGAAGATTATCAGGTTATACAAGTAAAACATCGTCAGTCAATATCGTCTATGGAGATCAAACACATGAACCATTGTANATTGTAGAACCACAATTGAACAAAAGTTTGAGCCTAACCCGAAAATCGCTTCTCCGTTTACCCGACAAGACGTTCGCGATGCTATCCCGCTGTGTTCGAACACAGATTATCCATTTTCTTACTGGCCCCATAACAGCTAGTTCACTGCACCATATGGCAGCCTTAGTTCAATCGTTGCAGCATACAGTCGAACCTTCAGAAACAGACGGATGTTGAAACGGTATCATAGCCGTCTCGAATTGGTAAACACCAATCGTGTCTCATGAATGCTTTCTGATATCTTGTCAGAGATTTTCCCACCAGGTGAGATTTAGCTGGTCTACTGTCTCCATTGCTTCCTCAGTTAGGATTCAGTTACGGGCTGAACCTATCCAAGCGCATGCCGAACACGACCACATCATCGCCGAATGCATCCAGTGCTTATTTGTTCACTGACAATGAAAGAAAAGTATTCACTGTCAAATTCCTGTTGCGATAAACTAAATAAAAGTAAATTAAATGTATTATAAGGAATACTATCTACGAAGGAGGTTTCTGAAAAGCTGACATTTATCTCCGTGTGCATTTCACCTATATTATATCTATACTATTTCAACTCATCAAACAACGATCAACTCACATATCCGTTTTCAACTTTTCCGTATATGTTTTAGAGTTGAACAGATCCTCGATCGTTGACTCCAAATGATCCGATTCAATAGCTGCGCTATTGTTTGACTGAGGTTGAACACCTCTTTGGTTGGGTATTTGGGTCTTTCCTATAAATTTACATGGAACAGGGAATACAATTACGTTTTCAGAACGAAAATGAAGAATTTCAGCTATCTAAATCTGAGAACAATACTGGCGTGTAGAGCTATTTTCAATCAGATTTACAATATTTTTTATTTCCATACAATTTGGTATGTAATGTTTACTAAGTCTAATGTTGATCAGTATAAAATGTTATCCCTAGTTCACATGCAAAAGAAATTCGAAAACAGAAGCTAATATAGTAAATGTTTCTTGCAAATGAAGCGTGAGCTGAAAAGCTGGGACTCACTAAATAGCTGGTTCCACCTGGTTGGGTCTCATTATCAGAGCGAATCCATCGAACTGACTGGGGATCGAACGCGGGACCTCACAGATAAAACAGAAACATACTACCCACTTAGCCATCGAGCAGCTGACCCTTTTTAATATACACGATATAGCACAATCCATTTTTGAGAGCCTGGTGTGGGCATCGCGCCTAGCTCTAAGTTTATGACTTGTTTGGACGGTTCCAAGACTTGACCAACTGTTGTGTGAGAAATGGATGATTTGATTCGGTTATATGATGAGTTATATAGTGTATACTCTAAAGGATAGATGGTTTAACCATCCACAACCCACCCAACTCCCAGTTAGAAAATGACTGTTTCTGTAAACCATTTGGGATACGGTGAGACCAACTCATTGCCTAGGTAGGTCTATATAGACAGGACAAAATGGCTATAACATAATAGAGCTTTGGAATACTTCTTGTACTGGATTCAATACGATATTACCGTGTCCGGATCAGTACAGCCAGTGGCCGACAAGCAACGTGCATGCAAATCACCGAGCTTGGGAACTGTTAAACATTTGTTGACGATGCAACACCACATCCAACAACCGAAAGTGTTTCGAGTAATCTGTACCTATCATTAAGGTAGGATACTCAAGACTGATAAAACGATTGCTGGGAGAGCCCTCTCCTTACTTCTTGTGTCAAGCAAAAGAACTATTCTTTATTCTGTATCCATCTGGGAAATCCTCTCATCGATTCACATTGACGTTCGACTATTCAATATAAACACTAATTATCTGTAGTAGACAAAGGCTACTATTCAGAAAAGTGTTCAGGATATATATATATACATATATATATGTATATAGTAAGACAAACTAGTAAAGAAACTATGGACTATATCTATATATATATATATATATATATATATATCCCAAGAGAGAATACAGGCATACAATGAGTTGTAAAAATGTTTATTGTAACCTTTCAATCCAAACTAGGGCTCGTTGTCAAACGTATATATATGAAGGGAGAGAGTTCTGGTATGTCTTATTTTTAAATGTCCTACAAAACGGCAAATTGATTAACAACCATGGGCATTATTCACACTGTATTATCTGCGTCGTGAGAANTCTAGGAGGACATCAATTTTTTACTCTCCTACTATCTCTCAGCTTGAAGAACATATTCGAAAGAGAGAAATTACGCTGCTACCCATATTTGAGGGTATACAAAAATTGAAAAACTAATTTTCTCTTGAGGGCTTCTTGCGTGGATGGAGCAAGGTTATTTTGTTCATCTTTGCCCGTAAAAATGGATTTTAAAATAAAAATCGCTATCACACTAGTGCATGATTCATGTCCAGGACGATTTCACTGCAGATCAACATGACATATACTGCAGAAAACTAAACGTTTATGTATAAGGCCCTGGCCTGACAACACATTTGCTTAAAACATGACAAAAGAGAAAAGACAAAAGTTGAAAGAGATAAAAGGTGGCCCAAGTCATCGCTATAGATATAAATAAAAATAATTTTTGAATAGAGTAGCCAAAAAAACAAGGTCCTTTCGTTATGTCTGTTCCCGTACATACTGCAGATTAGTTGATCATTAGAATACAATGAGGTTTTCATCTTTTGTTAGCACCCGCTTCAGCGAACTTTAGGAACCCTGCAGTTCGNTAGTGGAAAATCCGTGCTTTGGTTGACTTGATGTCATGTCCTTAGAAGTTGAGCTATTAGTGTGATCAGGAATCGTGCAAGTAGGCCATCTTTAAGAAAATGTCAAAAATAAATGTATGCATTGACGGATTGATAAATAGAATTTCGACAAAACACTTTTGTACCAGAACGATGAGAAGGCCACTTCAAGTTAGATTTACTATTTTCATGATTGAATAGTTTACTGTCACTATAAAACTCAACAGTACAGAAGGAATGAAGTTAACTTTTAGTTATTTCTGCTTGATAAAATAGACTGTGAGGACCTTATTTACTACCTTCAACTTACTAACGGGACAGGAATATTTATTCAGAATTTTCTTCATGTGGATGAAAATATTCTCATCAAACCCAAACTGGTCATCGTTCTGACAGATTTTCTAAATAGCGTAGATAATATATGCGTATATCGCATGTCCCATAATCGTTTACCGTATTCTGACGGATATCAATCAGATTAATCAGAGTTTTCAACTCAGTCACCGCGTCCAGAATTACCGCTGTGACCGCAACAGCCTCGGACCCCGTGAGGATCAATTCCTCATTAACCGACTCCATGGAGTACGGCTGCCGAAAAAAGAGAAAACATATTGGCCTTATATGAGAGAGAAAATAAACAGAGCAATAATAACAACATAACTAATAATAATGAAATAGCGATACTATTCAGTCTTACTTTTAAAGAGACAATGAACAACATAAACGTTTTATTTCTGCAACACTTCACCACTGAACGGCTTTCTGACTCTCTACAAAACTCGCAGGGCTGAATCAAACCAATCGTCAAAAGCTTGTAAGTAATTATGATCACGAAGTTTAAACGATACACATTGATATAACTACGGCCGTATGAGCCGTTGTCACATATTACCTGGGAAACATTCTATCCGTATGGAGCACGCGGCAAGGGCAGATTTTCAAGTACGTATGGAAAATGACCCATTTTACGCAAAGATACAACCTCAAATCTCTCAACCTTGAATTTGATAAACTTAGTGGTGGACCATCCCTGTGCTGTATTGAGTGTTGCCTGCAGTGCTTCATACTCTTTAGAATATTGTATCGTTCTCCATATTTGACGTCGTCAGTAAATAACAGTGTTTGTCCCCAAGGCTATCTGATCTTTTATGGATTCCAGGAGAAGGTAAGGATCTAGTACAAATCCTTATAGTAAGAGCTTCGGACGGGAAATAAATTTGGGTCAGGGTTTTTCGAAACCTCCGTTTGCCCTCTCACACAAATTTTACACAAAAGTTGCTCCACATGACTTACTTATTCAAATTGTTGTTAGTCAACCATCTTTCGAACTGTCGCCAGGAGAAACTACTCTATCAATTTCTTTGTTCGGCTGCGAGTAGATGATAAGCTCGTATGTGATTTGTCACCAAACTCGTTCTTTTGAAGACTTATTAGTTCGGTTGGTGTCAATGAATCTTGTTCGAGACACCAGTGGATCAAGCTGTTCTTCTTGGAGAGTCCATTACTGAAATGCCGCAAGGTTCTACAATTTTTTGTAGTCAATAAGAGTAAGCATGTTAGTTTACAGGCGAAAAAGTTCTCAAAAGGCCAAGCATTTTGCTACAGTTATTGCAACCTCCAGTTTGCAACTGTTGTGGTCTACGAGTGACTGGACATTCGTCGCGCTTTCCTGTGGCTGTATTGATTGATTGGTCGAGTGATTGACATATGATTTCGGTTAGCCAACACGCAAGCATTCGCGCCATGCGGACTGACTCCACTACAGTATCAATCGGCTCCACCCAATTAAGTGTTAATATTGAAATATCCTCGTTAATTGATTTGTTGACTGTTTGAATGCCTGCTTGACGGTATTCGGATGTTCANCCTGCCTGCCTGCCTGCCTGCCTGCGTAACCCGCTTTTGATCTATAAACCGGCTTTGTGTGTGTCATCTACAATAAAAATACTGCTTAATTCACTGTGTGCTTATCTACCCACCGCAACAGGAACACAACAGCAACCGATCGCCTTTTTGTAAAATTGAGCGTCATAAGTTGTGGGGAAAAATGCGAAATCTTCGGCCTCATCTTTAAGTTTGTGCCGTTAGAGTATTTGTAAATTGTACAACGTCTGCATGTGCTCTGTGCAAAACGTAAGCTTAGGGTATTCAAGTGTGAATTCTAGTATACATAAGGGACTTCCTTGTTAGCGTAACGTCGCTCGTTTTGCTGCCAGTTTGCAACGCCATTTGCACTTCACTAAGTGACCAGATATAGCGGTACTCTAAAGGGTTTGGTGGTTTCCAAAATTGCAAACTGTACCCATCAGTTTGGTAGTAGTTCGGTCAGTCCTGCTCTATGATGCAGAAAATTGGCCAGTACGGGAACACGATAAAAATAGATTTTCGGTGTTCGAATACCGCTGTCTACGTCGCATTGCATGAGCCTGTTGAGGTAACCGGCCGAGCGATGCTGAGGTTAGACGTAGAGTTTTAGACATTCATGGTCGTCCACTGGACCAAGTAATCGGTCTCTATAGATTACGTTGGTTAGGGCAAGTGTTACGCATATCACTAGATGGGTTGCCACGGCGAGCGGTGTTTGCCGAGGCAGGTAGTGGGTGGAAAAAAGGTCAAAGGTGGTCAAATTAAAACCTGGCATGAGGGTATGAAAACCTTAACGAAGAGACTAGGACACATGGGCCCCGTTAGGCTACCTGGCTGGGGACCCCGAGGTGATGGTCACCGATGGCCAGAGACACTGAGTGATATGGCTGGGTGTGGCAAAAATTGGCGCTCGGGCATCCAGTCCTTATTATTCCACCATCACTCGTTAGGAATTCTTCATCTTTCGCTTGAATTTGATCCAACCTTTATTCTGCTCTTTTATCCAAATGGGGCACCAAAAGACAGCAATCAAAACTGGCGCACGAAAGTGCATAGTTAATGATTGTAAAAACTAAACTGAACTGATTTGTAAAAACTGCACTGTTTCATGCATTGTTTTCAGCGAAACGGTTGATAGAAACAATTTTTAGAAAGTTGGTTTATTAAATGGAAGATAAGTTTGAACATTAAAACAGAGTTGTGTTATTATGTGTCCCAATCTGCCGGTACATTAGACAGCCTTAGAAACACATGAGTTGCGGGTTGATCAAAATTATCTCACTATTAAACCAAAATTTAATAAACACTAAACTAAACATTTAGATTGAAGTTTTACTTTATGTGAAGTCAAATTTTCAACCAGAGTAAAGAACTCAAAGAGAATTATGCCGAGTTCACATTCCAAGACCTCTGAATTGGGATTGAATTTAATTAAAAGAATTAAGTCTCGTTGATGACTTTTGGGTTCTTTCAATATAGTCCAATTTAAGCCCTATTGTAATTATTTTGAGTCAAAACCGAGGCCTTAGAACGCAAGCAATTGCGTTGAGGCTAATCAATAGAGGCCGTGTATGAAAGAAAACTACCATTTCACCGATATTAGCGATTCACTCAACGTGATACAACAAAAATAATACATACGCTATACAAGTTCAACCAAACATTTAATCGGTAGCAATGATATTTTCCTTATAAAGCGATTTTGCGGGTCCCGATGACAAAATTTGGCAAACATCTTTTTTACAGTTTCCTAAGGACCTCTTTTCTGGTTGCTGTAGAGGAAGTCACTGAAAGGATATTCAGAGGACTGATAAAGGACGCTTGATGGACTGTCTTATGATATATAAATGATCAAATTAGGTCAAGTCTGTGGACTGCATCAATATTATATTATATTTCACGCACATTTGACGCCATACGTCTTGCACTGAGTGTGAAAATATTCCCACGGCGCGTAGTGGTATTCATCTTTCATAATAATCACTTCAGCTAAAGTCTCTTTTCAACTTGAATTGTTTATTTGGGATTTGAGCTGCAAAGTAATGAAGTAATGACATTTACCAGCATACGTTTAACATACCCTTCTTGCGATGAGTAAAATGACAACGCACAAGATTATTACGCCTAAATGCATGGACACACCGGCAAAATTGCTCATACACCGCCTTTTTGTTCATGTATGTAGCACACTACAATATATTACCTACTCCGAACGTATATGGTTTTCTATCCACCTGCCTACCTAACTCTTGCTTAGGCAAAAGACCTCACTTTTGGAAGCAACTTTTTATGATGATTAACAAATGGAACACCTACCAATGTTATCAGGCCTACACCTAAGCTTCTATTTCATGAAATAAGTCTAATCAGTGCTTATAGAGTTCTTCCTTAAACGCACGTACACTCCTAAGTTCCACCAGTTTCAGTAGTAATCTGTTCTATGGAGTAACTATCCTAGTGCTAAAGATGTTCAAATACCCTTCAAGTCTCAAGTGTATTTTTGTTATCTTAAAAAAACGTGCCTTTTCGAGGCGCTTTGCAACCGTTCAAAGAGCATTCCATGATCCATCCAAGATAGGCCATTCATAATTTTGAATGTCTCTACTGAATGACCTCAGTGTCTTCTTTCCAAATGTAAGGGTTCAAAATCCTGTAGTCTCTGTCCAGGCGGTTTACATTGTTGTCCTTTAATTGTGTTTTAGATTAATTTTTGGACCCCCAAGAAACAAGCGTCATCCGTTTGAATAGGGAACCCCAGGCCTGCAGGCATTGCTCTGGGTGCGGTTGAACAACTATCTTTTACAGAAGCACAAACACCTCTGGATTTTGATGATAGTGTTAACCGCAATCTAAAGAGTTCTGTAAGGACCCAATACGCCGCTGCTGCACACTGTTTAGCCCATTTTTAGTCCACTATCACTCAGGTTCCAAAATCCTTAGCCTTTTGTGTTTTCCTAAAGAAATACTGTTGTAAATGTTTTCCACGATTAGTAATTTGTCCCCAGCAGTCAAGACATGCTGATTGGCAAACCTCGTGTACTTTTCCACTTGAATACTTTACTCTAGTCCTTTTCCAATCGGAATCTCCTATTTGATTATACAACCTTGAAATTATCCGCAAATATACATATGATGGATTCCATACGTGATTTCGTTTCTGCGATCGGGACATAGAAATTTCGGCTGGTCAAAAAACCAGCAAACTACTTATATATCTTACCCCTTATCCAAAAGCGTCTACCTTGATCAAAAGTAAGTGATGACACACTGANACTGAGTCCAATGTTTTACTAAAGTTTAGATAATGCTTTCCTCACCCACCGTCTTTCTCTTGCATTTGCCTCATCTAAGAAGTGCAAAAGACTGATGAGACACTATTTGCCCTTCAGAAACTCATGCTTTGCCAAAATCAGCAGTCTTTGTCGAGTGGGATATTCATCTAAGTGAGTTCTGGTGATTCCCCTCAGAACTTTACACAAGATACTTGTGCAGCTTACTAGGTGGTAATTTTATAATTTTTATTTCTTCCCTCCCTTTTGTATGAAACCCATGGTGGCAGATCTCCAATCTTATGGTAAACTACCCCATTCTAGAGTTGTATGGTACAGTAAATAAACTTAGCCCGCTAGAACCTCCACTATGTGTTTTATTATGGCTGAGTTGAGGCCATTTGGACTGTAGTGGCAGTATCAACCCTCCTCGCACTGTACCTT